GGTGTGTTTGAGTTAATAAAAACACAAGTAGAGTCGATTTTTTTATGTTAAGAGTTTAGTTACGAGAAGAGCAGAGTATGAAACGAGAAAGACAGGATCTGTGAACTGATCAGCTCGAGTCATCTTCTTCTTAAAATCTTAGTCTTATAATCTTCTTCTTCCTTACGCTTTGTTACCTCTAACAGAAAATATAGCAACCTCCATTATAAAATGTTTGTAAAACCTTTGAGAGATAATGGATTTTGTAAGCCAAGTCTCACACGAGATGTAGCGGTAATCATTCCAAAAACTCGTTAAACGCGTGGTGTCAAGGTTCTCTGGTCATAGTTTCTGGTTCAACATTTCATCTACAAACCCAAAAAAGACACACAAAGAAAGGAAAAGAATGAAAGAATAATATTCAAGAATCCTCAATATCAACATCACAACTTCTAGGGAAAGACACAAAAGAAAAAAGAAAATTCCAAAATTAGTATACATAAATCATATAGATCATTCAATTAGAGTTAAGACATGTCCTCAAAACTCTACAGTTAAAAAAAAATCAATCCCAAAAACCTTACCATTATCTCAATTAGTTCAATTTTCTCCCTTCTCTAGTTTAGTGAGAGGGGTCAAACTCCATTTCCCGTGTGGTCTGATCCCCACCAGTGCTCGACCCGGAAGAGTGCATTCCAAAGTCACTGGTTGGATTACTGTACTCACTGCTCGTATTGTAACTGGAACTTCCAAGTGCCACTTTCCAATTCTTCTTCATGTCTTCATTGTCCTTGCTAGTGTCACAATCCGTCCATGACTTGACCGGTTTGATCCCTTCTTTCAATTCTGATGGTGATACGTTTCCATTCAATACACGCACAACCTGATCGTTTTTACACCAATAACTCAATTAGAATTATTAACATTTTAAATGACTAATATTGCAACTAAGAAAACATGTTGCCTTTTGATCGATCAAGATAGTTTTAATTTTTTTCAAGTGTTGTTGGTTCTAGCTCGACATACATATTTTAAAACCGAAAAACCAAATGCCCAACAAAATGATTTAGTTACCTGGTCCATGCTAGGTCTGTGACGAGCTCTATGGCGAACACAAGCCGTAGCACAAGCAACCATGCGGGCCATTTCCTCTATGTCATACTCATTATTCATCTTTGTATCAGCCAAAACCTCAAAGTCTCCTTCCTCAGTTGCTTGGTTAAGCAAGGGTAGTGCCTGTTCCAATTATTCATACATAGCTTTTGCTTCACTCAACAGTCAAATTGTAAAAATTTATTTGAAAGGTTAGAAGTTGTATTAATTACCCAATCAACCAAGTTGTCATCTTGAAAGTTATTGTTTGAATCAAAAGGGCGACGACCCGTTATTAGCTCCAAAAGTACAACGCCAAATGAGTAAACATCAGACTTTTCTGAAAGCTTTCCGCTAGCAGCGTATTCTGGAGCCAAATACCTGAAATATCAAAACCAAAAGTTACAAAATTTGCATGGATGCTAAGGATCACATACATCCTACAAACTGCATAAATGTACATATTTAGCTTCAAGATTATCTTTATACCCAAAGCTTCCCATTACGCGTGTAGATACATGAGTATTTGTATCAGGAACAATCTTGGCAAGACCAAAATCAGCAACCTGAAAGATAAAAGAGCTTCAGGGATACATAATACAAAGATGATTCACGAAATTAGCATGCCAAATTAGATATAATGCCTTAATGGACCGTAAAATAAAAGAGAGAAATCATACTTTTGCTTCAAATTTGAAATCAATCAATATGTTTGCCGCCTTGATATCACGGTGGATGATTTTAGGATCGCCTACAAG